GATTTTACTTGGTTCATTGACCTCCTCGTCTCTGTAACACCAAAAACAACTAAAATATTATATTGGAATTCACCGCATATCGATCCTTCAAAGCAACCAGTCAAATGGAGGGATGTTAAGAGCAACGAATTCATCAAGCAGCTAAATGTAATCAGCGCATCTGTGATTAGGAAATGTATTGTTGAAAAAAATGCAACTAATTTATACCCCATGTATGACTTGTTTGAAATTTCCAAAGACGTATTGCACTGGAATGGGGACGGTGTTCACTTTTACGCCTTATGGTACCAGAAAGTCATGGCATTGTTCTGGGCCACGTTGTGTCAAGATTGATAATTCCTAGACATCACACAGGAAAATCAATCTTACATATTAAAATGCCGAATTTTTTTCTTGATTTGCATTCACGAAAATGTGCCGTCACATAACTACTTTCTTAATTTCATTGATGGAGATTAGAGATTGCAGTAAACAATATTCAATAAGGAATAAACACCAGAGGCAAAACCACATCAACTCTTTGTATGCTATAGACCATCCTGAACACTGTGTATTTAAATGTTGTCATGGGACGAAGCTTGTTTCGAAAGGAACCGACCGACATACCGGTCATTTAAACCGCGAGCTTTTACAAATAGACTGCTTCAGTTACCGTTTAAACGAACACCATTCGAAAATGCAAAACTTCTCCCAAATTTCCTCGCTTCTCGCCGTGCCTGCTTATCCATAATACTTTCGAAATTTTTCGTCTTTTGCCAAGTTTTGGTAGCTGTGTAAACTTAAAAGCAATAGAAAATAAAGAAAAACTAAATCTGATGTTGGATCTTACTTGAAACAAGCAACACATTTTCGACTTTTCACGTCTTCCTCACGTATTAAATTCAATTTTCTTTATTTTAGTGAAAACTGGATTAATCATAACATAACTTTGATATCAAAACAAAAGATTCATGTTTCATGATCAGTTCATAACTGTAAATGGCTTTGCGAAGCAGGAAGCCCGTGGTCGGTTAGAGTTGTGAAAGAAGTTTTAAGAAGCCGAAAAGTAAAATATAGCGTATTTAAAAGTTTCAAGGAGAGTCTGAAGTGTCGCTTGAGCAATAGGCCTATAGTTTTATTTAAGAGAATGGTAAGTTTGCTAGGTGTAAGTTGTATCATCGCTCGTGGAGAAAAGGGCAACGTTACGAAAAACGCAAGTCTGGAAAATCTACAGACAAAGCACCAACGCTACGAAAGGAACTGAAATTAAATATTATTACAAATGAACCATTAAGTGCCGACAGAATTAACGTGGAGTCAAAGTTTGCTATTTGACCTACACATAGTGTCTGCGATAATTTTTTATATCGAGCATGGTTGCAAGCTTGCACGAAATGTTGCACACGTATTTATTTATTCTACGTTTTCGTCTATGCACTTGGGTCTGTTTGTGCGACCACCTTGAATATATCAGAAAACATAAAACAGGGGTGCCACTGAATGAGATTTCCGTGCTAATTGCCGACCTGCCGCCATACGCAATGGGTAATAGAAGAGTAGTTTAGGTTACAGTTTGAAGGGCAATAATTTGATTTTTTTAACTTAACAAAAAATAAATAAATATTTATGAAGTGGAACTTTACAAAGAAATCTCAACAATATTTTCAAAATATCCCAGTAACATGGAAAGTTAGGCTAACGACGTGTTGCTGTTCATGGAAATTGTGTTGAGTGTTTAGTTGTCTTTTAGTCCCACAGCAATACATATCTAAATGCAGGGGAACTACTTGATATAGTTTACATCTGAAAGCAACCTTTTTGAACGACCCAATGATAGACAGACAGATAGTTGGAGAGATGTGGACGAAGATCACCCAAAACCAAATATAGAGGCGCATTTCACATGCTGAAGTGTCACAAAATAAAATGGAATGGATTTAAAGTTGTATTCAATTTTATAAAACATATGTGTATAGAACAAAAAATCCACGACTATCTCAATTTCAATTGAATGTATAATATTTACCATGTCTTTACATTTTATAAAGCGCCCTAAATGGCAACGGATGTTCCGGGAACGTAAGTTCCGGGTCATTCAATTCTAATTATTATACTGTGCTCCGACATATTTTGTAGTGATTCAGTCATGGTAAATTATACATGACTTAAGGATTTTTTATGAATATTTAAACTGTAACTCAAAGGCTTTGCGTTATGGCTAATAATACGTAACGTATGTTCCCCAGAAAAATTGTACTTGGTGCTAGAAAACATTGTTTTCTGTTGCTGACCGAAAAACATATTGTGATTCCATCTTAATTTAACAGTTCTGATATAATATTTGTATCATGAGTGGAAAAATAGTTTATTTAATGCTTTTTTTTACTGTCGGTAGGGTGTATTCTCCCCATCTTTTTAATATTCAGTGACAAGCTCAAAAACAATTAACTGCTCAATACAGAGGGTTATCATAATTTTACAACGTTGTAAAACGAGATAAATCAAAGTACTAAAACCAGTGATGTTTGAATTTTCAAAGTAAGTATAACATTTCCACAGCTGGACTTTTTGCATTGTGACAGTAACGTGTGTTCCTTTTTGGGGTTAGAAAGTTTATTTTTTTATGATTCATGGTTCCAGGAGAGTGAAAATTTGCGTGGGAACCTAAAATGATCAAACATTGTTTGCAATCTGTGCACTTAATATTTTTAATGGCATGTCTGTGACCTTTTTGCACCTCTATATTGGGTTTGGGTGAGATACATGTAAGAGTGAATCTTTTTTTATCCACTCAACATGAAATGCATTTACGTCTGCAAGCAACTTTCTATTAATCTTATGAACCACAAAATGATAGACAGACATAGATGAATGTGGACGTGGATACATGTACAAATATATCTGTATATGTATACAGGGATACACGCATTCAAGTAAAGTATTTTAAGGTAAACCTGCTAGTCTGATGAAGTTGGAGCTGTGAGAACAGCACTTATAATTTGTCTTCAGAGGGAAGGGACAAAAATATTTAAAGAAAAGGAAGGGTAGCAGAAAATCTTTAAGATTCTTACAGGAGTGCTAAATAATACATAATACAGGTATATTAATGATATATATGCTGCACATGCGCTTGATTTAGCTTGGTTCATTGACCGAGACGTTCCTGTGATACTAAAAACAACTAAGATATAATATTAAAATTTACCGCAGGTCGATCATTCAAAGCTTTATTCTGTGAGCAGTTGAATGCAGTCAGCGCATCTGTGATTAGGAAATTTAAAAAATGCTTATATACTCCAAGTTTGATTTGTTTGACGTTTTGCAGCACTGGCATGGTGAAGATGTTCATTTCAAACCCATATGGTACATGTACCAAATGGTCATATATATCGTTATTTGGAACTTGCTGTGCCAAGATTAATTATACCTACAACAAAGTGGCAATATTCGTTTTACTACACTTTCATAATTGTTAATATAGGGGGCCTATATGTTTTTCTTTAGATTTGGATCGCAATTAGATTGTGTGTATCTACAGTGTTCATGTACTAGTATGTATGTAGTAAAGGCATTAACGGTGTTTGGATTTACTTCGCAATTACATTTAAGGAAATGATAACTTACACGAATCCTAGCCTATTTCATAGACAGTAAGAGTTCACTCGTTCTGCACACGGATAGATACATCAGGCCTACCCAACTACCAGACGCGGCACCTACGGATCCTGAATAAACCGGTATATCAGACCACACTACCCGTTTTCAAGGTGTGTGTCAGATCGCATTACGGAGTATCATACCTCATCACAAATTTTGTAGGCCTTCCTGTCATCCGGGTATCGCTTAGGATCATCGCTATCACATCGCGCGCCAGGCAAAATGGGAAGGCGTACGACAACTATATCAGAGACTGAAAAGACTCGAGCTCCGTGTGCCCACTGTTCAGCCAAAAACACGATTCTGGCCTTGTTGGAAAAATGGCACCCACACGAAATGTAAACATACTCGCTGTAGCCAGAATAAAATTAGAAAGATTTTTCTGAAAGTGCGTGGACAGACACGTTGTGTCTGGACAAACTAGTAGAACCATCGGCTTCTGTCGTCCCTGTTGTCACGCACTTCCCTTGTAAACATCATAAAACAGAAAACATTTTACATACCATCCTCATACTGTACTTACAGGAATGATTTATGGGATTGGGTACAGACTGAACTCGGAAACCGGCCTAATTGAATATCTTTCTTGAAGCTATGCAGTTTTTTTGTGAATTTTCCATTTTTCTTACATTATTGTCTTTGAAGTACCCTTGCTTGTAGCCATTCCAAAAATTTGCTTTAGTGGTCATAATACGTGCAGTTTTTACATGAACGTTAAATGTGAGCATCTTACATGTATATAGAAGCTATCCAAATAACTTTCAGAGATTTTTACAAGATTTTTAATTTTAGGACAAAAAGTCACACAACAACATAAATGATATTGGTCACCTGGAACACACAGTAATCTCTAAATGTCAGGTTGACCCCAAATATTCTCATTATGGACAATAATCAGTCTACTATCATTGTAACATACGCCAACACATGTGGTATGGTAAATCTTTTTCATTTTTATTTCATATGCAGAATTTATTAGTTATTATTTATTAGAATTTAGTCTCATGAATTATTTTAATGAAGGACACTGTTAAAACTAACACGCACAGAGAGTGTTAAACCTTTTTTATAGTAACAAAAACTGAATTACCTTAAAAATTCAACACTTAACCTTTAATCACTAATGCTTGACTTTACATCTAAGTTTCTAGTTTTTGAACCACCCATAATAAAGACAGCTAGGTGTATTTCAATGGTGAACTAACTTCTTAATATGGCTTACCATGAGCAAGAAAGAAAGAGAAAGAGGGAAAGCAATTTTCTAAATAAAGAATTAGGGACAAATATTCAAAGAGTCGTAAAAATGGAAAATATTAGCCAAAAGCTTTTGATTACATCATCAGTCCAATATTTAGTGATGACTGTTTTAATAAGAAATTGAGTTTATGTATATAATATATATTATTATATGCTTAAAATATAATAATCAATAGTCAGTTAATTTTGGACTCAAATGCAAACCACTATCTTATTTGATATCTAACCAAGCTTTGAAATTTTCTAGTGATTAAAAAACCCTGCCAATCAGTGTCAGCATTAAATGAAGCATCACATATTCATCAGAAAAAAGTGTTGAAATTTTTTGTATTTTTGCAGGAAACGAATATAATATCCCACTTGCATCAAATCAGCACTAAAAGGAGCCAAGAGCTCTCATTAATTTGTCCAACCATCCACCATTTAATTGAATATAATCAAATGTTGAGGATAAGCCTGAGTATCAGAGAATACAACAAACATGTTGGGTGTATTGCCATTGTCCACCACACTGTCAAAAAGGATCATTTTATCATTGGGGTCTTTCTGTGGTGGCACAATAAGACCTTCTTTTCCCTTGGTGTATTCTCCTGTCAAAACTAGGCACTGGTACATATACTTGTTCCCCGCACTGTCTGGTTTGGAATAGGTGTTTCCGGCAGAGTAGGCAGAATTGACAGCAAAATACACACCATTACCATAAACAGTGGCTGTAACATTATAAACATAAAATGACATGCATTATATTTTAATCAGATCTGTAGTTATATGTATTTATATTTACTAAATTCAGCAGTGAAAATGATACATATGTCCCACAATATAGAAGTCAAATGATGTAATTAAAAGAAGAAAATTTGAAATATTTGAAAAAAAAAGAAAATAAGATTCCATTTCTTTGTAGCAAACTGCAAAATTAATGTCACAGGAGATTTTTCAATGGACCATTGGCCATCTTCATAAATTTTTCAGTTTGTGGCAAAAGAGCATTATTACAACTGTCATTCACCAAACAAATTAATATTTAACTGTGAATAGTTAAATAATTTCAGGACTCACCATTCTTCCCACAGTAGCTTCTATTGAAGCCATATCTGTTTATACTGTCTAATGTGTCTGAACTGGTCCCATGCCACAACATACGCTCGTTAACTGTCCCAGGTGGGTTAACCTTCTCCATATGTGTCTTACGTACCATGTACTGTTGAAATAAATTGGGGTTCTGGATACGCTGAATCTGAAATTAAACAGATTGAAACTTAACTCTTCTTAACATTTGAAATGAGGTCCGTTTTTTAAACCCTTAAAATAACTTAATATTTTGAGAAGCTCACATAACCTTTCAACTTGAAAACACAGCTGCAGATGTAACTCTGATAAAACAGAACATATTTAACAAGTTAGGAAATATATAGAATTATGTCATTCCATTCATCAATTCTTTGGAAAAGCAGCCAAAAAGTTTATTTGCACCTTTACAATCTGGTTTATCTTAGTCTTGCCAACTGTTTTGCGAAATTCTGTCTCAGTTTCTTGATATTCCCGTTGACTTGGTTGTAAATCTACAACCTCACACAGTTTGTTTTGGCCATAGGTCACATGTTGCCAATATGATGGAAGTTCAAATGTTTCAACTAAAATAGAGGTTGAATCATTAAACTTAATATTTCACTTAAATAATTTCCCTGGAGTCCTAAACAATTCCAAACAGAAAAATAAATTTGATTTTTCATTTGAACAGATCGAGTGAATGTTTAAGCCATCTATTTTACTTGCATTATCCCTTAATTCAATGTAAAACTTCAATTTTTGCTCAAATATTACATATGCAACATATCTTTTGACATTAATTAATATGGGCTGTCTAAATAAAGATTTTATTAACATTCTTTAAAATAATAGAATTGAAGACCATGGAATTCCCACAATGTGTTACATCACATGTTTGCGATACTAGAAACTTATTTTAAACAATTACCTTTTGTGAGATCAACTCTCTTTACAGGGCATGGAGCTGCAGATGATGAAGGATAGGTCTTCTCCATTTTAGCAAATGTTATCCTGCATGGGCCATCACTATCCAAGAACTCGTAATAAGGTTTCTTGTCACTGTATGCTTGCTCAATGGCAAGATTTTCGATTGGGGAATATTTGCAAAACTCCTCTCTGCCATCACCACTTATCTGCAGACGAGACCACTGCACTGATCTAGCCATAACTTCAGCCTTTAACTCCTTTTGAACATGATCTCTCACATCTTGAAAGATCCCTTCAATAACCTGTGTAACTGCATAGATATCTTCTGTAGTGCCCCGGACATGGATGCGCTTTACTCGAGGTTTTATTTCAACCATTATATGCACAGGATAATACTGTCTCAATTCTTGAATTTGTTTGACCTGAATTATTCAAAATATTATCCATGCACATTTACTATAATGTCCCTTTTTGCATTGCCAATAAAAATAATTAATTCAAAGGGAAGCATGAGAACAATTTTTTAAGTTCACTCCTAAATTTCTTTTTATAAATGCGACATAAAATTTAAATTGAAATCGAAATGTTTTGATCTGATACATGTTAAAAGGGCATCCATAGGGAAGCTTTATTAATGAAATCTAGTTTTCATAAAAACAAAAAATTAACAATGTCTTAGACCCTGCATTTGGGTCTGATTGCCAAATTTGGAAAATTTTTTCATGAAATCAAAAAGATAATTTACCTGCTTGTCAGACAATTTTGTTATCATGTCAGCATCATCAAAAAGTTTCTCCTTGCACTGTGACTCACATAATTCATCTATCTTTTTCTGTGCAAGATTAATACTCTCTTTGTTGTCAGAAAAAATGGTAAGAAATATGGACATGGGTTCTGTCAGTTTAGTTCTTTTCTCTTTCTTCTTTGGTTCTGCTTTTGCCCCAATACCAGTAAGGCTGGTGAGAATACCTGCATAAAAATTAATTATAAATTTTATATGTAATCCATTTTACTGTTCCTTTTAATACTTTTATAGCTTAACTGAAATGTAGAAGTTAAAAGTTAACATTGTGTTAAACTTAAATTTACTACTAGGACTCCATATGGATAGCGAGTCCAAGTTTAAATTACATTAAGTTTAACAAATCGTTTTATCTTTGTATTAGATACATTAACTGGCAACTAAAAAAATGCAACATTTGCTGTTATTCACCATATTGATTATACATTATACCTGCTCCGGCATCAATCGCATGTTTTATGTATCCTTTCTTTTCTTTCTTTTTCATTCTTTTACTAAGCTCATCATGGAAGTCTTTCACCATGTTTGACTGAAATATGGTGATACGAATCATTCGCAGATGCTGAGGGTTGCACTGCTTACTAAATTCTTCAATGGTATCAAACATTTCTGTAGCTATTTCCCTAGGTGAAGAGCTCAGTTCCCCTGCAAATTAAGATTTATAATACAATTTTGAATTTCAAAAAGAGATACATGCAATGAACTATGTACAGTGGTCAAACAGGCAGATAAAAACAAGTAAAGGACAAAACTGACAGAATCAGTGATATTAAAACTAAAAGATAAAAAACAATTTATGGATACAAAGTGTGTTTTTATGTCTCCCTCATCCTATATATCAAACCACTGTCCATACTAAGTAAGCAAACAGCATAGCGTATTGGTGTTTTCAAGATTCTTCTCATCAAATTGTTTATGCAGATGAAAATTTATATTGTTTCAACAAATTTTACCTGTTCCTAAAGCAGGAAAGCAAATGGAAGAAAGTTTCATTTCTTCTGCTTTCTTTAGACAGTTTAAGACAGGTTTCTTCCATGCTGATCCAAAGAGACTTTTTACATGTGGTGCAACAAGATGGATGATATGTTTACAGGGAAGTTGTCCAGCTCCTGTGGCTGCAACACCACTACCACTCTTCATTAATTTACCTGGAGGATAGATACTTATGTAAAATTATGATATCACATTCAAATAAATGCAACATTGCATAAAATGTTAAACTAGCAAAAATGAATATAATATATGAACTATATAAATTATATTTTTAATTTTTAAATTACTCTCCATTTTATCACACCAAGCACCCTAAGCTTCATGTCTGATAATTTAATATATTTTCAAGCCACTTCCAAGTCTCTCCATATGTATATACAATAAACCAGTTTGTAACCTAGTGATAGGCTTGCATTGAAAAATCATCACATGTCAGTCCTTTTCCATAAAACCATTTGATTCTTGTGTCACAGCAAATGCAATATCCCATTTCTGGCTTATCACTGTGTTCATGCCATGGCTTGACTTTGAAGGAAATTAAGGCAGATTATATTTGCTGCCTATAGTGATCTTAGGTCAATCAAGCAGGCCATATGAAAGTATCATCATAACTAGAGGATCAGAGAGGCGATACCGCCTCCAAATATTGTACCACCAGCTGGAGCAAACGCATTCGTATAGACCCCCACGTACACAAAATAAGGGACACAGCCACCAGTTTTGTGCTTGACAAGCTGTAAAAATGCAATCAACAAGAATTTTTAAACTATTGCAAAAAATATATATGGTACAATCAAATTTAAGTTCTTCGTAAGGTAGGTCAAGGGTCAATTTCAAGGTCACAGTAAATTGCCAGTATATGACTTCCTATTCAAGTTCAAGAGTAACTATGGACCTATCTCTGTCAAGTTTGAAGTTAAAAGAGAAAGAAATTAGCAGAGTTCAGTTCATGATAAAAAGTAGGTCAAAGGTCAATTTCAAGGTCACAGTAAGATTGCCAGTATATGACTTCCTATTCAACTTCAATAGTAACTATGGACCTATCTCTGCCAGTTTTGGAGATATAAGGGACTAAATGTTATAATTTTGGAGTTACCATAATGTGCCTTAAATTTCGTACAGAAAAAATTAATTAAAATAAAGAAAATGTCATTTTGGTCAAAATTCTTGAAATAGGAGGTGCTCTGAAGTTTCAGAAGTTCAAATTTGATGAAATAATGTCATTTTTGAACACAAGTTGTCTGCTTTGCCAAGCCTTATGTTTTATTTTTCCAGAGTTCAAAATTTATTATCCATTACCGTACTGCACATTTTGCTTTTACCACCAATATGTACTTTTTGATACAGCGTAACTCGAAAACCGTATGGAATACAAAAAAACCGAGACCACCTCCAGTGTTGGGCTTTACATGCTCTACAAAATGCAAAAAAGAATGGGTCTCTAGCATTAACGGTTCCCGAATTAGAGACAGTTTTCAGTTTCGGTATCTTATGGCCGCTACTCCCGTGAAAATGCACCGATTGACCCCAAATTCATGGAGATGAAAGATGACCTGAAGGGTAACACCTTCCAATAATATTATTGGTTAAGTCTGTGTGGTGTCTGAATAACAGGGCAAAAAAAATTTTTTTCGTAAAAAATTTCATTTTTTTGAAAATTTTGGCCCATTTGACCTTGAAGTAGAGGTCAAAGGTCAAATCCAAGGGTATATTTGAAATCTACACATATGACTTTTGGAAAGCCGTCTATAGAAATTTTTCCCATAACTCCTTCCGTAGGGTAGATAATTAGCATTTAATTTTGCCATTTTTAGACAAGGGTGCATTGCAATGAGTGCCACACCCAGACCCCAATACCGACAAAGCCCAAATTTTACGTGGAACGAGTTGAGATTATAGGTGACCTAAATCCATGAGATGGGTACGGGGGCCCTTACCGTCTAGGAGGAGAAGCGGTAACGGTAGCCGTCCGGCGGAGCCAACGGAGCCGGCGGAGCCGGCAGAACGATCCGGACGGGACCGAAACCATGTGTACCGCCAGCGCTAACGCTGGTGGTACAATTATTGTACCTTAACCTTATATAGACATATTCTGGTTTGAGCTTATAATCTTTGCAATATATTTGGATTGTGGCATAAATGTGCACCATACTTTGATGTTTGCATTCATCTAAGATGTCCTGTCCAGCCTTAGCTAAAATTGCCTTAGAAACAGCTCCTGAAATGTCACAAAATATGCAACTTTAACTTATAGATGAAATTATCAGTGCTCAAACAACACATTTGCTTATTACATTTAAAGTGGTATACAAAGGCCTACTATAACAATAGTTTAATCTGTTGATTTGAAATGCATTTTCGGTCAATGTCCTAGTGAATACAAATAATTTACAATTCAATTCTTCATCCCTTGAGATGAGTTTGCCATCATCATTATCTTGTTATTCAACTGTACATCATACCTTTACTGAGATCCAGCTCTGCATTGGTACTGTTCACTATGGCATCTGTGGTCTCTTGGGTTAGATCTCCCTGTTGAACTTGGAGGCTAAGTTTTCCAACCATTGCCATCCTCTGATTTGGTTCACTGCCTGCAACTATGGATCTGTATGAACCAGCTGAAATTAACATATCTATATGTAACATTTGGATGTAACAGTTTTCACATCAAACTAATAAACAAGTAAGGAAGTTTTTTTTTTTTTTTGATATTTTAATGTTTCTAAACCAAAAACATTGTCCACATATAGTTCAATCCAGTTATCAAACTTATCAGTGTACTAGTATGTTATGGGCCATATACATGTATGTACATATCAATAATACAAATGTTTTTCTTTTTGCAATGCTCCAAATAAAACCTTGAGTGTTAAGGTCAAGTTTGTGATAAATATATAAATATAACATACCAGTATCATCATCCTCTAGATCTACATCATATTCCACTGAATTCATTGCGTGAAATCCTGGTTTCTTCTTAGTTGGACTTGTGGTTACATTCCTTATCTCTGCCTCAAATGCCTAAAATTAGTGATAGTTACATGTACCAATAAAAAAGTTTTTTCACTTATGCACAAGTACATGTTACTGCCAGTACATGTAGAAAGCAATATAGGGGTAAATATACAAGAACCATTGTTTAAAGGTGTGAGATTAATGGTCTGGTGGCTAATGGTGCATTTCTACAAGAAAAAATATCACTTAACTGTGAACATTTTACACAATAGAAATATCTTGTTTCAATCTCATATTTACAATTAAGAGAACTGAGCTATTGTATCACCACCAATTAATTGAATACAAAATTTAAACTCACTGCAATATTTGCATCATCTTTGTCATACACAACAAAACGTATATCTTTAAGTTTTGTAGTTGGGTTACGTGTTCCAAACTCTGCCACTGCTTGGTACATATCTCTGGCCACAACATCCTTAGGAAACCCCAGGTTTCCAGTTCCTACAGCAGGGAGGGAAATAGATGAAAATCCTGCCTTGTCTGCAGTTTCCAAACAGGTACGAACAAGCTTTAGCAAAATCTGTAAAGAAAAATATTGCAATGATTTGCAATTGAAATCGGTCAGAGTTAAGTAACCACTGCTGTTTTTGTTTAATATTTCTTATTCACCACCATTTAATTATTTAATAGTTATATAGATAGATAGATAGATAGATATTACAGTTTTACACTTGTAATTCTTAACAGTAACATTAATCGGGTTTTATCTTATACATGAAATCATGAGATGTAAAGGCTTTGACAATGCATGGTTCTACAGCTCAGAAAAATATATTGACATCAGGTATACTTCAGATGAGTCATTTTATTTGATGGTTTTAAAAAATCACATTTCAAGTACGAATTGGAAAATACATATAGCTTTGTAGGACATATGGACATAAAAATACAATTTCAATGCATATTCAAATGTGTATTCTAGTGTAAAGAATATCTTCGACGCCAAGATCAGATCAACACCAGAAACTTAACAATACCTTTTCTGCTCCAGGAGATTTCCAGTTCTCACATGATCCATGGTAGACTGCTTTACATCTAAGCTTCCCTGCATCCGTCTGAACAATATCGCCAAATTCATTGCCATTTGGGGCTTTTTGTTTGCATTGATCTTGAAGCACGCGGCCTCCAGCGGTTAGCAGTGATTTTGATACAGCACCATTGTTCATATCAAGGTCTTTCCCAACAGTGTTTACAATAACATCAACCTAATGATTAAAAATTGTATATATTTTCTTTTGCTTTCAGAATTGCCAGTCCTAGTTCAGGGGCAGGTAGGGGTGGGGTAGTTACATTAGTGTTGACAGTTTGATCCTCTCAATTTCAATCATTTTTCTAACAGCTAGTGAATACTGACAACAACCCTGGTAGAATGTATGATTTATCCAAGCTGAATAAAGGTTCTGTAAAATATTTGATCTGCAACTTACTTCAACTCAAGCAATTTTACATTCTATATACTCGCAATCCTAATTCTCAATGTTGAGGTAACAACCAAATATGTTAAAGATTTATGTACAAATTTATCCAAAATACTGCAAATTTTTGTCTACTTTAGTAAATAGGATAAAATTCTCTCAAACATGCTGCCATTGTGGTTGTTTAATATTGTCTTACCTGTTCATCTGCAATAGCCCCTTTTACCAAGGTCACCTGAAAGCCCTGACTTGTCTTCACCACTCCTGCCTTCCCTGTCTGATAATACAATGGATCAGAATCCGACAGCATGATGCTTTCTTCTAACTCTGCATTGATTAAAAAAATACTGTTGGTAAATATAAACTTATTCCAGAGTAAAAAGAGGTAGACAGGAACTGTGATATTTTATGAAAAATAAATATCAATATATATCAAACAATGTTGTAAGTCAGATAAACCAAAATTGTCCAGATAAAACAATAAAGAAAGTGATCTACACAGAATTATATATATTCTACAGACTAAGAACTTAAAAAAAAATCACCATTGAAATCTTCATCCCTTAGAACTTCTCCTGGATCTGTGTATCCTACTGCACCAACAAAATCATCAACATCATCATCTTCTTCATCCTCATCTTCATCTTGAGGTGTACCTGGTGTTCTAATCACTCTGATCAGAGCTCTTTTCAAGGCATCAATAGTGCTGTCCTCCATAGCCACCAGGTGAATATCTGTCAGTGAGCCATGCTTTGTGTTCTTAGAGAAGTCTCGAATGGCTTCACAAATTATTCGCCCACATTTATGAAGAGGGAATTTATACACCCCAGAACTAAGTGCTGGTAAAGCGATAGACTTAAACCGAAATGTAGTCGCCTCCTCAAGACAGCCCAAAACTGCTTCATATAAAAGATTTTCTTCGTTTTTATTGCCTCCTTGCCAAAATGGTCCAACTGCATGAATGACCTTTCCACAATTTTTAAGTTTTCCTGCAGTAGATGTGAAAACCTGGCCATCCAAAAGGGCTCCACACTTCCTGGTGTACATTTCACACTCTCTCTGGATTTCTTTTCCACCTTTAAACAAATATAAAGAAGTCCTGAATTCAACTATGAGTGTAAAATATATATTACTTTTTATTTTACATATTATTAGGACTAAAGGAAAACTATTCAATAAAAAATAAATAAACAAATTAAGACAATGATTTCACACTCAATAAGGTCATTAGGGTGAAAAAGCTATATTAGATTAAGTTGATACATATCCCATTTTCTCTACAGGGTTTTTTATACACTATTATCAGGTTTGAAAATTTTAAGATTTGGTCCTAACCTTTATCTAGTATAGCTTTCGCCAGGCCTCCTATGAGTTGAAGATTTCTATTTGCAGCATTAACAATGGCATCAGCTTTGTGCTTTGTAAGATCATCTTGGTAAATTGCCACATTACATCCTTCAACTGTCTTGGCCTCGGCAATCAAGGTGGACTTTGTTATTGGATTTCTGGCATCTTCTTCCTCTACTGTTTTTGTTTTTTCACTAGATGCAACTGGCTGAGGTAACTCAACAGTGCAGTTACCTTTGTTCTCTAGATGGTCTAGAAACTCTCGTCCTCGTTGTGAAATTATATATTTGCGCATGCCAGGTGTGTTTACTTCTTTCACTGTGGAATCAACTTTCTTGGCAAGATCAACTACTCTTTGTTCAGCAGCAATCAAACCATCTTCAGTGCCTGTTATAAGGAACCCTGGGTCTGCTGGACTTTCACTAAACTTAACTTTGACTTGATTTCCAACCAATTCACTTTCAATGTTTCTGAGTTCCTGCTTCTTATGCATTCGAAGAAAACGTACCTTTCCATTCTCCATGCGAAGATATTTTCTATGGATGGTGTTAGCTCTCAGAAAACCCTGAATTATCTCCAAGAAATATCCCATTAAATCTTTTGTGGAAACAACAGTGACTGCACTCATGTCATCTTCAGGGAAAATTTTGAAAAGTCCTGCATGTTGTCTTTCCTGTTCAGTAATGACATCTTCCCATGCTGGAGAACCCACGATGGATCTTGATTCAGCAGCTATGGGGAGAGGCGTTTCCACAAGACTAGCTTTTATGATGGCTTTGGCACGTGCCACATCATCTTGAGTGGCAGCATACACTGTAATGTCTCTCTCACCTGCTTTCCAGACTGCCAAAAGTTGTTTCTCTTGAAACAGCCCCACAAGGTGTGCATGGCATGCTTTGGTTGGAATGAGCTCAAGAATGTATTTTGACACTGAGAATGCCTCACGTTGTAATGAATTGTTGATCTCATAAATGGCTATCTTGGCTTGATTTATGTCATCTGGAATCCCAGTCAGCACCACTGCTCCATGATCAAGGTCAATTCTTATCTTCAGATTTGGAAACTTGCTTTTTGCAGTGTCAATATATTTAATTGCCAAAAGGTAGCGTAGTTCATGTGACATAAAATTCTTCTTTTCTGTAATGGTTGCAGCTTCACGTTTGATTTCATCATCCACCTGGGCATTAATGCTATGGACATCTTTTGCCACTCTTTGAGCTGTCACTGCTTCCCCAAAAACTCTCAACATGTGGTCCTTCTCTTCTATCTGTAGTACAAAGTCATCATTTGATGGCTGGGAGATATTTTTCAATCGTTCAAGTACCCTGTCCCAGGCAGCTTGAAGGATGGCAAACTCGCTGTAATAGAAATCTTCTAAAAAACATTTTTGCACTGTATTTTCTACATTTGCTCTCCAAGCCTTGGCCAATTTTTGGTAATCTGGCATGCTGCGGGTAATGGTACAAACCACAGTGAGAGTGTCCGACTCTTTGCTTGGCCACTGAACTCTGGCATGTACTTTTTCAAACTGCTCATCCACAAGTTGTTTGTGTCGTGGAATGTTGGAGATGAAGTGGATGACTGTCATATTTAAGCCATGAGGACTCACTGGTGAAGGCAGGGGGAAATATGGCTTGGAGCGGTCATGGTCTCCAGGGAGAACACCAAGGCACTTGTAGAAAATGGCTGTCCTGCAAACCTTGTCGTTCAGAACTTGTTGTTTTTTGAGGACCTTCTCCACTACTGAAACCATAGAACCCAGGATATTTGTCAAAATATCAATATTAGTTTTAATAACAAATATGATAAAAATCATTTGATGCATACCATTATAAAAAAGCACATACTAATGAAATTAATAACACCAAAAGCATCAAGTGCACCTACCCTCAATGTCTCCAAATGTAACTACTGCTGTGTTCATGTCTTGGTAAAGTTGGACTGCTTCAACAGGTCCCCCATTACTGCGTGTCTGGTTTCCAAAATGGGCTTCTAAGAAATCTCTGCTGACATTTGGGGCCAAATCAAACACTTGGATGCTGTTGGACTGCGGCACTTTTTCCACAGTTAGGTGCACACCTTCTATGGTCCTGTCATCACATGCAGTTTTTAATACCTCAAAATCTGAAGCAAATAAAAGATTTTTTTCACAAAGAAAATAAAGTTTAAAAGTGAAAACCTATTATCCATAATGAGAAGAATATATTCCTAAATACTGTATATTATAGCAAACCATAAAAAATAACATTGTTCAATAAGTTTAAACTTCACACAAAGTAGCTAGAGTAATTCAAACATGCCAAATTTACTATTAAATAAATTAAGCTGCCAGTCGTCGATCATTCTCAAGCCTCAAACAATAATTGCCATTTGTAATCTCAAGCCATGGAATAACCAAATTAACAAATCAAACCATAATTTCACATAAAAGAGCATTCGAAAGAACACCCTTTTTTGCTGGAAAAAGGTCCCCTTTAGGTAAAATTTTATCCAATTCACACTTGCATTGATAAACCAGTGGCTGGAAATCACAAATGGCTTTTTCATCTACAAGGCCTGATTTTTCTATTGAATTATAATACCATCTATCTTATATGATGCAGAAGAGAAATGTACCTGGAATGTCTTGAAATGTTACCAGCACTGTTCCCATTTCACTACCATATGCAATGCTCTCTATATCACAGTTTGTTTTTGCTTCAAGAAAATTTTCTAAAAGTTCATTTGTTATGGTCTCTGTCAGTCCTTTGATGAATATCCTGTGCTTATCAATGGGGGGTGGAGGTGTAGAGAGAATGGCATGAAGTCTACAGCCTTCCAACTGAAGTCCAACCTCTGACTCTGATTTCTGCAACACCCGATTCACAGCTAAAAGGATGGATGATATGAATGGATAAGAAGGGTTTTAAAAATTGTGTCCAGCTTGCTTGATTCATACATTAATCTTTAATATTGCACTGAGTTTATAAATGTCATTTAATTATCACAACCTTAGTTGCAATTAACTAGTACAAATGACCTTAATTCATGACAATAAATCAATTTTCATAACAATTATTAATCAAAGGAAAATCCATGTCATACTGGGTGTGGTAGTACTAGTGCTGTTGTAAATTTAAGTCAACAACAAAAACAATGATTACAAGTCAGTCAAAATCACCTTCTGGCTCTTTAAATGTCACCACTGCTTCTCTAGCTTCACTGTTCACTTCCACATTAAGCACATTCCCTCCCCCAGACCTTTTTCGATTTTCAAAAAACATCTGAATGGTGACCTTGCTGGTGGACTTTTTTAATCCTTTGACTCGAATGTTGCTAGAACATGCTTTTTTCTGCACAAGTCTTTCTTTTAAGATGTTTTCATTCTCTATCAGAACAAAGAAAAGACCAATTGACATCTGTTTAAATGAAGTTCAAAATTGAAGACACTTTTTTTTCATCTTCACTATATTTATCAATATCTAGCATAATTCTTCAAATTTTTCTTCTCTTTCTAGTTAATAGTAAAGAAAAGATGCCAGCTTTTCATACATTTCATATAAAAACTTCATGTATTAAGTTATGATGCAGTCCATTTTTTCAAGTCACATTCTATATTTAACAAAACAATTAAATTGATGGAATTACCCTCTGGCTCTTCTGTTGGTTGTCCTTCAGTGTGTAAACATATCTCCAAGTCTTGGCCTTCCCATATAATTTTTTTAGATTGGTTGTGCATTACCACACTTTCAGCAACTGAAAATATTAAAATTAAAATGTTAATAAGCAAATTAGATGTGCAAAAATATCTTTCTGGCACAAATGACCTATTTTCAAAGTTGTATTGATAGCGAAATCTTCAATATATAACATCCAAAATTGAGAGGTTAAATAAATAAAAATTACCTTCTGCATCTTCAAATGTGATGAGAATGAAATCCTGCTTGTGCTCTATCAGCTCAACTTTTCCACCACCTGTTCTTTTCTTGTTTTCAAACAGCATTTCCAGAGTTTCATTAGAGGTTCCCTTCTTTATCCCTCGTACCTCTATAGTTCTTGAAGGCACTGGGAGACTAACTGACAATGATGCACCTTCTAAACCAAGTCCTTTCCTGTCAAGTACCTGCCTGGCCACTGCATACATTATAATGTGTACACTTTAATAAGCAACAAGCAGTAAATATGTGTGATTACAGTGTGTGACAATAAGCTAAATATCACACTTATATAAATGCTTATTTTTTGAAATACAAAGTTATCCACCATAATTGCTATTTAAAAAGGAAATAAAAAAATCATAAATAACCATTGAATAAGATAATTCCTATTTATATTGATTGACAGGATACATTGTGTAATGAATTATCTATCTATCTATCTATCTATCTATTCTTTTCTTTTAAACTCACCATTAGGATCACTGAAAGTGATAGTCACCACACCTGTTGTTGGGGAGCGGGTTATTTCTTTTATTTCACCTCCACCTGATTTTTTTGAATTTTCAAAAAACAGACTTATCATCTCATCTGAAGTAGAACTTTTCACTCCTCTGACTTCTACAGTGGTGAAACTGTCTCCCTCAGGGCTGATTTCTTCATGTTGTATATCTGGCTGTGGTCTACTAATCAAGACATCTTCACCATCAACACTAAGCACTTCTCGCGACAGCACTCTGGCAGCAACTATGAACAAACAATGTTGATAGTCAACACCATATTATGAATTTCACCAATGACTGAAAACTCACTTTGATGATTAATAATAATAATAAAATAATGTTCATCCTCTCATTACTAAGTAGTAATTTTGGCTTGACATCAAATAATAATTTTGTATAAAGAAAGAAGTCTTGAAGTAAATAACAATTATCCGGTTTAATACTTATAGGGTGAATGCTATGAGCAACAAAAAAAAAAAAAAAAATCTAAAACAATTTTTTATCTAATTATCAGGGTTTTTAATCAACATTTTGAATGTTATCTTGCTATTTTCAAGTTTATTAAAAAGAAAATAATCTCAATTTTAGCCAAATATAACTATATTTGTATTACATTGCTTAAGGCCACTAATAGTAAAAGGACCAAAGTCATAGAAACAAAGCCCT